TGGGTCCTTGTTGGTTTAGGGTTTAGGGTGTAGGGTTTAGGGTTTAGGGTTTAGGGACGTTGTTGTGATACTAAAACCAGCAAGGATTAACAATGGTCATTTCTAATATAGAGCCAACAGGGAACCAGATAATGTAGAAGCCGACCGAGACAGGTACCGATATTCCTTCTCTGCGTTCTTGATTATAGCTCTACTAACACATAGCCCCCAAACCATTGTGATTCTTAAGGCCCCATTTGATTAGTGTCATTCTGAAAGTCGGAGAGTCTGTGTGCAGACGGCCTCAGCCTTCAACACTTTCGGCAGGTCTTCACTGACCAAGGAATTTAAAATCCTACCTAAACCCCAAGAAAAGGTAAAATATTATTGGCCTCACCTATAAAAGGCTATTATTCTACATATTTTGGGGGTCCAGGTAGGACGGACCCAGGAAGCCAGCTAAGCCCCCCTCAAAACCAGCCTGTGAAGGACTCATGGGCCGCGCCAAAGCCAGCCGAAAGGCCTGGCCAGGGACACCTCAGTTGGGCGGATTTTAACCGGTTCTACTATCGGGGTATCGGTTATAAGGTCAAGGGGTTATAAGGTCAAGGGGTTGGGGATTAGGATTAGGATTGAGGGATTGGGGCTCTAGGGTTTAGGGTTTAGGGATTAGGATTGAGGGATTAGGGCTCAGACCTTGGGACGTAGGCTTCGTAAGAAGCCGGTGGGAAGATATAGGGAGTGTGCGAGCCACTGCACACGGACCGAGTCAAGCCTTCTCCGCGTACAGGCGCAGCAAGGTTTCGTCTGTTTAGGCAAACCCATGCACCCTAAACCCTAAACCCTAAACCCTAAACCCTAAACCCATGCACAAAGTGCTCCGCTGTAGATGCCTTGGCCTCGCAACTTCAGGTTGGCGGGTTGCGGAAATTTCCAGTTCATCAGCGATGCGAATGCCAAGCAGCTGTTTTGTTTTACCTGCAACAGGCATTCTACCGTATGGTCAGACCATTGATTACCAGGGCCGCGCTGAAAAGCCACCTCAGCAGATTTTGAGAGATAGAGGCAGCAGATGGCCATTCCAGAGGTGCTGAAACAGTACGATAGGGGGAGCACATCCCAGGCGGGTTCGAGTCCAGGAGCCGGGCTGGCAGCTGCGGGTGGTCCGGAGGGCCACCAAAAGAAGAGGACAGCAGTGGGAACCAAAACGGGCCTTGACCGACAACAAAGGCCATCGCCATACAATCGGGTAACACCACTGCGAAGCACTGCTGTACCATGAGTCCCTCATCAGTTGCGCCAACACTTACAACAACGTCCTTTGCTTGCGTGTGAATGGGCCGCAGCCGCAGTTGAAGAGTCCCTCCAGGATACCTGACACACACCTATAGAAGCATAGCTGCCGTCCCTGCCCGGCCCCGCTCCCACGCCGAATGCTCAAAGTAGGGGTTTTTGCATGCGGGGAACCTTCCGGAAGCATTCATGGACCAGTGCACTTCCTGCTGCAAGAGTAGGGTTGAGGTTTATCAGGCTCTGTAGGGATTTGAGGTTTAAAGCTCCAGGATACATCCCTGGGGTTTAATTGGATCCTAAACCTAAACACTAAATCGTAAGGTTTGTGGTAGTTGAGGGTGTACCGAGAGGATCCCGGGTCTGACAGATGGGCGTATGATTCGGGCAAAGTAGGCTTGCTATGGCAGTAAGCAACTACACATTATGCGTCAGGGCCGGTTAGGGTTTAGGGTTTAGGGTTTAGGGTTTAGGGTTTAAGGTAGGGTTTGGTGTTTACCCGCTGCTTTGGAGATGCCTCGTCCGAGTCTGACGCTGCAGGAGGACAGGGCTTTGATCATCGCTTCATCCTGCTACAGCCGCTGTCACATGGGAGTTTCCCAAAAAGTAGGGTACCTTATTTTGGCTGGGGTCCTACTATTTAAGGTACTAAACTAGGGTCCCCTATTTTCGGAAACTCCCACATTGGTTTAGAGTCTGGGGTTCGGGGTTTAGGGTTTGTGTTCGGGGTTTAGGGTTAAGGCTTTAGGGTTCGAGTCCGTGTCCACTTGTGTCATCCATTCCTCAACCCTGTGCACCCGCCCCAGCATGGACAACTACAAGTTCTTGTTTCCCCCTTTGAAAATTATGCACGCCAAGTAGAAATCGTAAACCCGACGGGGAAAATCGCACAGGAAACTTGAATCCCTAAACCCTAAACTCCAAAGACCTAAACCTTAAGCCATTAAAGCCCCAAGCCCCTAAAATCAGAACCTTGCAGGTCCCCTAAACCCTAAACCCTAAACCCTAAACCCTAAACCCCTGCTTCACTGTAACCCGGGACCCAGAAGCCTCTCTCTCAGAACAGGTCCGGTGACTGCGTCTTCCAACCCGCAGGCCTGGAGTTGCGTTGTCAAGATGCGTATGTGTGTGTATACTTATATATATATATATATGTATATATATATATATATATATTTACACATATCTATGTACATCTGCATGCCTGTTTAAATATATCTATTTATATATATATATATATATATATATATACATATAGTTTATATAGGTATGTGTGTTTCTGTGTGCGCACATGTACAAGGATTGCGGGGTAAGTGGATTGAGGTATGCGGGTTTAGAGCAGCGGGTTAATCTGGTTCTGGGGTTGAGCTTTGTTGCAGAGGTTCTGGAGCTGTGGGTTTAGAGGTGCAGAACGAAAAATGGACGAAAGGTTACGGTAATGAGTTTCAGACTTGAGTTTACGGGACAGTGTGTATGGTGTCGGGCAGTGCTGAGACAAAGCATTTGAATCTGAACCCTAAACCCTAAACCCTAAACCCTCAGATTCTTAACCCGACCTTGTTCTGCACTTAGCACTTGCTAATCCCAAAAACCCAAGCCCAACACCCTTTCGTCCACTCTGCTGACCTAGACCTGTAGCCCAACAGAGTTCATCTCTTGAAGTAATGCAAGCAGACCCTCATAGTAAGAGCCCTTATGACCCGACCTTATGTTGTTGGCGATGTGAGGGAAGCCCAGCCGATCCTGATCCCCCACTTAAAGGATGATAGGGCTTAGCAACTAAGGTTAAACATGCAGTATCTAAGTTCACAGTTACTTCTAACCCCAATTAGGGTACTTATTTAATTTGATAACCACTTCTGATCCCAATGAGGGTACTTATCACCTGACTTCCTAAGTCCTCCCTCCGCCGCGGCTTGCAGCTCCGGCGCCGCCACTGCGTCCGGAACGTCGGCTTCCGGAAACGACCGGCGCAAAGGCCTTGTGGTTTTCTAGTCTAGGGGTTGGGGAGTTTAGTGATAGGGCTTGGGGTTTATGGTGTAGGCTTTCGGGCCTTAGCAGTTTACACAGGGCAAGACCAACATTATTTCAGTGGCGTGTCTAGGTGTCGTAGGGTTTGTAGGAGATCGGTTCAGGGTTGATGCATGAAGAACGGCATCTATAGGGCTTCAGGGTTTAACAGCGTGAGGTCTCCTCTTTTGGGGCTTGGGGTTGCAAGGCTTTGGGTTTAAGGCGTGGCGCTTGTAAAGTTTAGTGTCTAAGATGAAGGTTTAGGGTCTAGGGTGTAAGAATGTGTAAGATTTGGGTTCCACATTTTTTCGAACATTGAATGTGAGGTTATTTCAGATGTTGGGGTTTCGTGTTGGTCTGGAAGGGTGCAGAGTCTCAGTATATGTTGTTATGAAGTGATAAGGTAGGACGTCGGTGTCCTGCAGCCTCCTAGACGGCAATGCTTCGATGAAATGAATCTACATTGACAGCAGTATTGTGAACCGCGTACAGATGCTCGTGTACGGTGCATAAAAGCACCGACTCATGCGCGGCAGCATTCGTGTGACATGTCCACCGGCCAATTACTGATGCCAGACTGCCAGACGAACACAGTGACGCAGCAGCCGTCACGTGTGGAGGAGAGGGTGGCAGCGACAATCATTCAAGCGAACAGAGGCAGCAGGGCATGAGACCACACGGGAACCCGAAGCCCTAGGCCATAACCCCTAAACCCTAAAACCCCAAACCCTAAAACCCTAGAGCCCTAAACCCGAACCCCCAAAACCCTAAACCCTAAAACCCCAGACCCTAAAACCCTAACCCCCAAAACCCTCAACCCTAAAACCCTAAACCCGAATTCACCCGAAACCCGGACAGTTGGAACCTGAACCCTAAGGGTCCATGTACCCAAATAGTATATTTTTTGGCTTTAAAGTACTCTCTCTATATATATAGCCGAAGTCTATACTATTTGGGTACCCTAAACCCTAAACCCTAAACCCTAAACCCTAAACCCTATACCCTAAACTATACTATTTGGGTACATGGACCCCTAGGGGAAGCGAGCCGCGAGCCGAAGGGTGCGAGGCATCCGCACCGCAGATTAGGAGCCCCAAAAACGACATAAGCATAAGCATGTCATAGGGATATCCCTATCTGATTGGGCTTCATTAATACAAGGGGGTTTATATGGGATATCCCTATCCTAGTTTATGCTTATGTGCTTCTTTGGGCCCCGAAAAGAATCCCAAGGATATCAAGCCTTGGTCGGTGCTTTTGATGGTTTAGGGGTTAGGGGTTTAGGGTATAGGGGGTTAGGGGTTTAGGGCTTATAGGGTTGAGGGGTTTAGGGTTTAGGGTTTAGGGTTTAGGGGTTTAGGGTATAGGGGGTGAGGGGTTTAGGGCTTATAGGGTTGAGGGGTTTAGGGTTTAGGGTTTAGGGGTTTAGGGTATAGGGGGTTGGGGGTTTAGGGCTTATAGGGTTTAGGGTTTAGGATTTCGGGTTTAGGGGTTTGGGTTTAGCGTTTAGGGTCCAGGGGTTTAGGGTTTAGGGGTTTGGGGTTTAGCGTTTAGGGTCCAGGGCTTTAGGGTTTAGGGGGGTTACGGCTTTAGGGCTTATGGGGTTGAGGGGTTTAGGGTTTAGGGGTTTAGGGGTTTAGGGTTTAGGGTAGCTGTTTGATTGCATATGTTGGTTCATCTGATTAGTTCACTCCTCGTTTCCTTTTTGATGTCGGAGTGTTTTTGTGAGCAGAGGTCCCATGCCAAGGTGCGGCCGCCGGGAATTCCCCATAAGCCATAAGCCCTGACAGCATCCTCGGGCCTGGATCTCAGCATGCTTGGAGTCCCCTATCATAGCTATACTATACCCCTGAGACTTCGATGTTATCTTTAAGGATAAGATCTAAGTCTCAGGGGTATAGTATAGCTATTATGTAGGGACTCCATATAGAGCAGACGCCCAAGCAGGACGATGACCATTGGAGAATCCGCGCTCCCTACAACATCCGCCCTGACCCCTTGAAAGCCCGTACGAGTTTTACCGCCTTTAGGATTTAGATAGGGTTTACCTGTAGTCCCCATTGTAGTTCCTTTTTTTGGTTTAACCAAGTTTATGATTAGGATCCTACAAGGTAATTAACCCCAAAAAGGGAACTACAATGGATACTATAGTACTATCGGTAGATTGGGTCTAGCGTTTTCAATTCTAGGGTTTTAACTTCGGCCTCCGGTTTGCGTGGTCTGGAACAGTGCCTGCAGGCCGGTGAGGTGCGACGGGATGAATCTGGCAGCTCGGGCAGCATGGACTCGGCCTGGGATAATGCAGGGCCTAAATAGTTGGCGATACATTTTTTTTTTTGAAGGGGGGTGGGTGGGCTCCTTATTCTGACGGAAGTATAATGGGCCCCAAAACTCTATGCTAAGCATTAAGGCCCCTATATTAGCTGGTATGGGGGCTTTGTTGAAATTGGTTTCGCGGGCCCGTCATGACTCATGGTGTAGTATTTCTGGAGTGCACCTGCACAACCTTACAACTGCGACAGCAACAACAACAACAACAACTACTACTACTACTACTACTACTACTTCTGCTGCTGCTGCGGCTACTGCTACTGCTACTGCTGCTACGACTACTGCTACCACTACTACGACTACTACTGCTACTATACTTCTTCTTATTCTGCTACTACTGCAGCTGCTGCCACGGCTACTGCGACCATTTGTGCTACGAATGAGACAACGACGCCGACTCCTACTGCAACTCCTACTCCTACTGCTACTGCTGCTGCTACTGCTACCGCTACCGCCACTGCCACTGCTACGGTCAATGCTGCTACCAGTGCTACCGGTACGTGCTGCTACCAGTGCTACCGTTGTGTATGCTGCTGCTGTTGCTGCCGCCACCATCACCGCTCACAACGACAATGCCCTGCACGTGTACCAGTGCTCCCACACACCCAGGACGACAAGGACTGATGGAACACTGGCAGAGAATGCCACATTTCCGAGCCCGGTGCCCTAATCCTAAGCAACAACCCGCCACTGCTATCCTGTCCCTTCTACATCCTGCTACAATCAATGACAATAAGACCTTAAACAAACAAGCAACCTGTAAGCCCCCATATAAAGTCTCTATATCTGCATGAAGCCCGAAATTAACAAGGAGTTCGAGCGCCTTTGGCTCGGCCGACATCTGCAGCCGACCACCGCGAGCTTGCGTTTCTTGGTGAGGTTTACTGACTTTATTCTGTCTGCCGCAGCACTTTTCTAGATGATTCTTGGCGGCCTGTTCGCATGGTTTCTCTTGTGATGCGAAGAAGAGGAGAAGTTTCTGGTCGTTGTAGCCGTGGTAGTAGTCATAATAGCAGCAGCAGCAGTTGCAGTGGCAGTCGCAGTAGCGGTAGTAGCGTAGCAGCGTAGCAGCGAACTGCGTAAGTAGTACTAGTAGTAGGAGGAGGAGGAGGAG